TCGATGGTCCAATACAAATTTCACCGTGGATTTTATTCCGCCTGCTTCTTTTGCTTAGGCCTGTGTTTTTCCTTGATTTTATCTGAAAAAGTACACAGTACTTTCGGTTTTCAGTAAGTATTGAAAGCACTCATACATCACTAACAACATGTCAGTAAAGTATAAAAATTACTCTTGCTTTTATATCAGATTAGAGCAAGTATTTAGCTAAATTCCTCTCCTAAATACTTTTTCATTTTCCTACTATTCCATCATTATATATTTTTTTTAATCCTTCAATAAAAGCACCCACATTGGAGCTATGGAAGAGGCAGTATAAAAACTGATATAGATTCCAAGTTTATTTAAACATCTTATTTGTATTTCAACCTTCCGGATAGATTCGAAATCAAAGTCTAGTATCAGATTTTCGAGGACATGGCATTTTAAAATACTATTGATTTTAATATAAATCAATTTATTTAAACTTATAAGATTTTTTTCGGTATCCAGATCGCGCAATATTAAATCCGATAATAATTTCATAAAAAGAGCATCTGATATCATAAAAGTGGACTCATTTATTAAAAAAATCGAAAATTTACTTAAACTAGTTGCGCGATTGCGCAATCTTAAATTCAATTAGATTTCATAATAGCGCTCTTGGTAAAAACAGCAGATCTGGAATAAATTCGATGAGTTTCAATAAATTGATCATAAAAAAAAAAAAAATCATTATTTTTTAAAATTATAATCTATTTTAACGGAAGGGATTGACGACAGATCAAACGATGGTGAAGTGACTTAAGTTTTACCACCTTTTACAATAAAAAATAATTATTTGGTTAATCATTAATTCAATTTTGAATATATTTTTTTTTTGTTGCTTAGTGATATTATAGTTTATTTTATAGAAATAATTAATCTTACACTGTTCCTTTATTGAATTATTAGTTAAGCCTGTGATTTCATGCAATCAAATATCACACAAGACTGAATCGACGACAAGCTTACAATAAATGGTTTTCTGATATATTATGAAAGCTCATATTATGAAAATAAACTAAGTTTTTGTTTTTGTCTTGCATGTTTCTAAATACATTTATTATTTTAAATATTACCTATATTTGGAAATAGGTAGTGAAGCAAGATTGAATTTCTTTCTCTTTAGCTCGATAATTACCCAACAGACATTTCTAAAGTATATGATTTAGTTTACTAAAAACGCCGATCTATTGATCTATTTACTGTTGGCTCATCTCACCCTAATTTTTACGGAATTTCGCGGTTTTAAAATGTAATTTGCAACCTGTGGAGGAACGAGTCAGTGACTGGTAAGAGACGATAACTTTTACTACCAGCAAGGGAGACAGAGACAGCCTGTGATTCATCCTATCCGGTATTTTGAGCAGAAGGGTTATTTTTGTTCCCCCAACAAAACTTTAATGCACCATTTCATTTTTATTTCGGAACTAAAAAAAAAAAAACTTAGCCACCTTATTTACCACATATTATTATTATTTTATATGTTATATAAATTAGGCCATTATTCACCAATGTTTTATTTATTAGCTATTTTATTACGACATTTCGACCATCACTTTTCAAGTCTCATTGAGTCCTCCATTTAATATTCATTATTAATATCGTATTAATTTGTTCAGAGAAAAATTAAATTGTTCTGCTATCTAAGAGTTTCCCCTACGTCATTTCTTGACCAGAAATGATGTAGGGGAACAAGTGTTTTCACGTCATTATATCCATATGTTCAAATTTACTAAATGTATTCCTTGAATACAGTTGTAAATATCACTAAGAAAAAAAATTAAAATAACATTTTTTTCTTATTTTTTAATCAAGGTGGTTTAGAATTAAAAATAGTATTTTTTTCCGAAATATGATAAATAGTAGATGACAATATCAGTACCTCGTAGTATTCTAATCTGTGTTATGCCCGAGTTTGGTTTCTATTATCATTTATTTAAGCTTCTTACTTTTTTAGAGATATTGAACTGTCCGTAAATTAATTCAGGTTTTTTATTTTGAAATAAATGATATGAAACTATTTTCATTAATCAAAATACGCTACATCACTCTCGATGGACTTTTGTACTGCCAATCTGTTGGTTCCTTTTCAATTCTCTCTGCATAGAATATTGAATCATTATTACTAAAAAAATCTGAGAATCCATGTTCTGACGAATTACGATCAATGAATTTTTTATCATTTAAAAAATGTTCGAGATATCTAAAAAAAAATGGTAGTTGGTAGGTAAAAGGTCAGAAGATTAGCGAAAGTGCGATTCGTTTCTGTTTCGGCGAAACGTAGTATGAATTTTGTCATAACTACGATGTCTTTGGCGGTCATTTAATGCATGAGTTCTATTTTTGATTGCCTATTTTCTAATTGTTTTTGTACAAGTTCTCGTGTAGTTATTCTGAGATTTTCTTCGATCAAAACTTTCAGAACATCGTCATCAAGAGAAGTCCCTGCCTCGAACATCTTTGTCTTCAAGTGTGGTTTCCTTCTTGAATTTTTTTAAGCCATCGTTGAACGGTACACACACTCACATTGCTATCGCCAAACACTTAATAAATGTTTCTAGTCATTTGGGCCCCATTTCAACCGGATTTAAACTCGTAAAATGAAATTATTCGAAAATCTCGTTTTGACCTGTTAGTTAAGAATGAATTATTTCCAAATAGTCAAATGGTACAGAAGGTAAAAAACATTTTTGTTTGGAAGAGGATTAATAAGTGTTGATATCCACACAAAAGAATAATTCGTCAAATTTAAACAGCAGTTATTTAGAGTGTTAATATAAAGAAAACATGAAAAACCTGCATTATTTTTCGGACAATGTAATAATTATATATATATTATGGTTTATATATATTATGGAGTCGGGATGACCGAGTGGGTTTAAGAGTGAGCAAAATGCACTAGTCCAGAAACCCGAAGGCTGCGGGTTCGAATCCCAGTCACGGGATAATAATTAAATAATTAAAAGAAAAAGAAAACAATTAAATAAAAAATGATAATAATACCTCGTTATCCAAGTAGAAAGGAACGGGTTCATTCCCGCTAAGGACATTCCTATCCTGAGAGGCACAGAGAGGTGAGCGACTTCTATGTCAGACATGACTCCTGGTTTTGCTGGTTGGGGGTTGGGCATAGAGCTAATAACTCTATGCCGTCAAAAACATCATATCACGAAACCAAAAATCAACCCTGGAACATCTGACTATTAACTTGATAACGACCCCAGCAAATGGTAATAAATGAACAGTCACACAAGAGGTAAGGTTGTCAGATTGTGATGATACCACTATAGACACTCTGTTCTATGAGAGAAACGACAAAAATAGTACAGCTAGTACACGATTTATAGTTAGTCCGTCCACAAGTAAGTCAGTAATACACTTTAACCCAGTTAATGAAAGGATAAGTGTGAAGTCGTAGGTTTAATATCAGGAATATTAACATGTATGCAACAACCGCTGAAAGAGAGGATAAGATGAAGGATGATTTATACGAACAGTTAGCAAAAGTCAAGAATCAGGCTCCAAATTATGATATAACATTAGTCGTGGGAGACTTCAATACCAAGATAGGTCGAGAAACCCTATTTAGGACCATCACCGACGGTCAAACTTTCCACGAACCAGTAGTGATAATGGAGTCAGATGCATCAGTCTGGAAGTAGCCAATGGTCAAGTAGTACAATGTACATTGTTCCCGCACAAGGATATATATAAGTACACCTGGGTAAACCCTAAACGCGTAAAAAGCCAAATCGGCCACGTGCTGGTAAACAAGAGGTATCAAAGCTTCATATAAGACGTAAGGAGCTATCGTGGAGTAGACTGTGATTCGGATCATACTCTGATTATAATCAAACTCTGTTAGAGACTAAAGCGAATCCACAACATTGGGAGCCTAGTGGAAAGAAAGAAGTTTGAAGCCCGTAATTTGAAATACTCTGAAGTATAGACTGAATTACAAATTGAGCTGAAAAATAAATTCGAACCCTTGAACACGGTGGGCCAAAATTGAGAGGCAGTAGGGTCAGGGCTACACCAAATAGATAAGAAAATAATAGGGATTCAAGAAAAAAGAAAAGTCAAAAAATGATTCGCAGGAGCTTGTGAAAGGACAATGGAGAACAGAAGAAAACTAAAAGTCCTCTGCTTAGCAAAAATTGATCAAGCTATGATGGACAAGTACACAACCAATAGAAAAATATAAACAAAATAATAAGAACAGCAAAAAGAGAATTTCTTAAAGAAAGGACTATTGAGAAAAACTGGCAGACAGGAAATATCTACAAAATCTCCGCAGATGTCAGAAAAGAAAGGGTAGGATGCAATGCGAGAAATACACAAATGAAAGGGGAAAATGGCAAATTAAAAAGGAACAATAAAGAACAGCTAAAAGAAACTGGTCAGTCTATATTTCATGATATGAAGGCAAGGAGGTTAAGATGAGCAGGGCATGTAGCTTGCTATGCTAAAATAGTAGGCAAGAAACATCGCGGGAGACTAAAAACCAAATGGATAAATAGGACCAACAAAGATACGGCTGAGTTTCATGCATCAAACTGGAAAGAAGTAGCCCAAGATAGGCAGAGGTGAAGTAGACCGATTCACGAGGCCAAAGATTTAGAAGACCTGAAGAGCCAAAAAAATAAAATCTAGAATTAGATATTTTCTAAAAATAAAAATCTACCTATGACAAATAGAGCTCTAAATGAATTTTATTTATGCATTAAAATTGAAAATTGATGAATTACTTATTGAAAGGCATCCTTCTCAATAGTTTTCATATCGGGTTCTCTATTGCTAAAGCAATAAAACTAAAAACGTCTAAGATTCTGCTATCTGATCGGATCTTACACGTATGTATATGGATCTTGTATTAATTGCATAAATATCAATGCTATAAATATTAATGATATAAATATTAATGATGGAGGCATATAATTATTTTATATAATATGTTAATAATACATAGGATATACTTGTGTGCCGTTGGTTGAGCTGCGGCCTCTGACGCTCCGATACCACACAGGCCAGGGGCACAATGAGCCCGTGCTTCTGTTTGCAGGTAAACAACTTCCGTGATCCCCAACTCCCGTCAATGCCACCATATGGCAAAGGCTCGTCCTGAAACAGGTCATCAAGAAAGATGTAATGGAACAATATATAGTAGCATTTTAAAATTTCTACAACTTAGATTATAAATACATTACGATGAATCGAGGATGTGATTTGTACATTGAATGTATTTGTAAATTTAATGAAACAAAAATAAATAGAGTTAGGCTAGGGATAGGTAGAGAGCCTTTTTGTCATTAGATGCCACAATAAGATTGCTAAGGGAAGCCACATTAATTCTTTATATTTTACGGTTGATACTTTTATTTATCACGAAATAACACACTCATATATACATATATTTAACTCAATTCTTTTAATTTTCAAATTCTCGTAACTTGAACAATTAAATATCAATTAATTCTAGAGCTAGATTAATAAATATAGCGCAAACACGTTTGGAGGATGCAGCTTCATCACGGAGGCCATATGCGACCCCTAGGATACCTATGATCTAGGAATAAAATATAAAATTTAAATATTGCCAACACAGAATATTGCTGTTAAACATCGGATAGGAGGCCTGAGCATGCGCGCACCTGCGACTTAAGACAGCAATAAAGATGAAATTATGCCCATTTGAAACATAAAACAGAGATCAATTTAAAAACTTCTAAAGAAAACTAAAACAGAAGAATTCATAAGAAAAGGTCCTACAACAAAACGTCCATCAATAGGAAAGGCCAAAAATGAAGAGGGAAAGAAATTGAAGAGAAAATAATTTTTGAATGGAGTCAGTTAACAGAGTTCTTGGAGGTAGGTTATCCAGTAGAGGTGCTCGTAAGAGAAGTTGGAAGCAGTGTATAGTAGGGTAGGAAGAACTACATCGCTGGGAAGATGGGAGGCAGTCGAGAAGGTATAGCGAGGGTATGATTAATATTAATAATAATGATTAATAATTTAACGATTTAATGAATAATACCAGAGACCTTAAGCGCTGACTTCGGAGAGGCGATTTCCCTTCCAACAAAAATAGAAAGGAGGCGAGAATATTGTTTCAACCCTCTAACTCTCAATATTTCGAAGTACAAAAATAAAGTCAAAAATCAATAACAATTAATCTACATGAATGAATAAAATATGTAAACTAAAATCAATTCAGAAAACAATATTTTACCACGCCCTATATTCCTATTTTTGAAATTGAAGTTTATATTCAAAGATAATTATATATACAATAGCACCATATCCGATGATTATATGATTCATTTATGTGCACTATTTCACTTTTACGTGAAGATTTTATCACATTTACCGCGGCAAATTTTAAGCATCGGAGAATTGACAGTTGTTGAAACAGAACCAGTCCCACAAATCAGTAGATTTGAATCACACATGTCAGCTTCTGAGTACTATATGCAAAGAGATATAAAGTATATTCATATTTTTAATCTATAAATAAGGATTTTAAAACATAGTAAAACTTATAGGAACCAAATCTCTTGTCACTTTGTATAGGTATTTTAACCCATTTTTTCATGAGTTAGGAGTTTTTCATAGCCTATCATAGATAGTTCAAAAGTCGTCGCACTATCTGTTGACAGAAAATGTTGTGATTTCACTTAGGAAATATTCATCAAATTATTCAATAATTTAATTTTCAAAAAACCTCGCGCGGGCTTATTACCGCGCAGGGGAGCGTCCCACGTGTGGAGGGTATGGGGATGGTCGGTGGAAGTTCCTCTCGGCTAGGTCCGCTGGACGTGGCCAACAATGAGAGGGAACCTCCAAACTTGCTGGAGAGAGGGGACCTCTTCCAGATTTGCTGGAGGGTGTGACGTTGGATTGAACGCCCTATTCACATATCTATAGTTCACAAAATACCAGTCATGGATCCACATAAAGTAAAATTCGCATTATCTGGAAGCAAACTTGTCCCCCATTTGGGTCTCTCCGGGCGGCGACTGCTTTAGGGGATTCATGCCGCAAGTTGAAAACTAGAGATTTAAGTATAGCGACGTGGAACGTAAGGAGTTTGAATACAGCAGGTGGGTTAAATCGGGCGCAAATGAGGTCAATGGGAACAATTTAGATATCGTGGCATTGCAAGAGGTTGGTTGGTCAGAGGAGGGATCCATAAGCTTTAAGCTTCTCTTCAAGCTTAAGATCATACTTCCACCAACCTACTACTTAATTTTTCATTCCTTTCTCTCATACAGATTTTTCTCCGTTCGACATTCTTCAGGTCTATCCTCAACTTGACCTATTTTAGCTGGTGTACCTCAGGGATCAATCTTACTCCCATTACTGTACATCACATACACACATGGCATTCCTCAAAGTATCCACACCCTTACAGCAACCTACGCAGATGAAACATCATATTTACTCTAAGACTAGAAACATGCCCCGCTGTATACTTAGACAACATACCGAATCCACAAACAGATAGAGTACAATACCTAGGCCTGACGTTTGACAGAAGAATGACATGGGGTCCACATGTAAAGGAAAACGTACATCATTAAATCACAGATTAAAACTGTTGCACTCATTATGAAGACGACATTCTAAATTAAAAGCAAGACAGAAATCAAATATTAATACATATCTATTGAAACCTCTCGGTACTTTTGGACTATATATGGAATTGTAAAACCAACACACATAAAACGACTTCAAACTTTTCAGTCTAACATACTATGACTTTTACCCAAGCACTCTGGTACGTGAATAACAACACTTTACACACTGACTTGCACATGCCAACGATCAATGAACACATACGAACTTACTACAAACGATTTCATAATAAATTACTTGGACACTCCAACCAGCTCATTAAAGAAACGGCCACTACTATTATGCCAAAGAACTCGAAGAAGACGGCTGAAAAGGGTCTGGATGAGGAACCTACTTACGTAATTGTATGTAAATAAGTAAAAGTCATGGAAGGGATGCCGCTGGGTATTGCCTTTCCTATCAAGCCATTTTCATTCTATCTTATGATTGTGCCAGCTCATCTGCTGATTTTCTATGGGGTTGTAATTGACAGGTGCGGATTAATAAATAAAAGTGATAAAAAAAAAAAAATTGAAGTGAATAAAATGAGCATGTAAAATCACTGAGCTTAGTAACGAAAAAAATCCTAGGAAGTTAATATGCACTGTACCGACTAGCAAGCATCCGAGGGGTAGACCAAAGCGAAGGTGGGATGATTGCGTTAAGACTGATTTGGCGTTAAGGCTGATAACGTTTAGACGGAGCCCGATCGATGGATGAATGCGGACATTGATTGGTGATACCGGCATCTAACCTTCGGGTTCGCTAAGCCTTATTATTATATAGTTTAATTTTCTACAGTGTTACTTAATGATATTTCTGAATAAACCAACAAAATATATTTAATTATTTTTATTTATTATCTATAGTTATTAAACTATTGTCAATGCATTTAATATTATATAAATGTATTAGTTATAAATATATGTTGCACACATCCATAAAACGTCTTTATATTCCATTTCTTCTTTAATATAAGTACAATTTAAATATTTTTTAAACAATTTCATTTGCTTTATTCGGTGAATTATATTTTCTTTTTCAAGCTCAAAAAAATATGTATAGTTAGGGAAGTTGATTTAGTTTCTAAGGAAACATTTGGTTTAAATAAAATAATATTAGTTTACAGATAATATTATTTATAATTTGTTTGTTACTCTCCATTATCTTCTACGACTTTGTATGTTAGATATTATATGTATATGTTATGACTATTGTTTTTGTAAATTCATTTCCAGCCTAAAACAAATTTTCCTTTTTTCTAATTTATTCAATTATCAAATTCTTTCATTGTTTCTATTGGACCTTATTTTATTACTACTAATAACGAGGGACTGTTAATTATTTAAAATAAACCAAATCAAAGGTACTTTAGGGAACGATATTTTGAACATTGGGCATGTCAGATCTTTTAAGCGATGTCAATGTGGATAAGATCTATATTAAATTAAAGACCACTTAATTATACATCGATGAAATAACTTTTACTATACTAACTTTATGAAATAAATATTAAACGAATGAAAATAACTTTTATTATTCAAAAACTAAGAACAAAATACAATACAGTAAACTTGTAAATTTAAGTTTTTTCTAAATTTAAGTTATATAAATATAAATAATATATTAGCTCAGTAGCTCTTTGATAAACAATTTATTTAACTATATGTTCTATTTCTTTGACAACAGGAACATTTAGTTTGTCCCTTATAAATACATATCAATTCCAATAATACAGATCCGCATGAAAAACACAGTTTCATAAACACTTTCCCGAAAAAATATTTGAAAAATTATTATTGTTAAATTTTTTTTATGAATAAAAATATTTAGGCGATTATATTTATAAAAAAACATCCCATATTATGGAAAAAGAGGAAATAAAAGCTTTACAACAATTTATTTTAGTCATTTTTGTTAGAAACAGAAGTACTTTTACTCGAAAGGATAAAAAATCACATCAATTTTTTAAACAACTTGATGTGAATCTTAAATATTTCCCTCATAAACATCAGCTTAATTAATATAGGCATAAAGGTTATTAAAGGAAGAAGTTTTTCTAAAAGTGGGATATCTGTAATATAATTTGATGATGATAAAAAATAATTCACGAATAATTAATGACTTTTTTATAAAACAGAACTTAGCTTAGTTTAGCTAATCAAAAGTCCAATTTAAGTGGTTTTAACAATGATAAACTCTATTTTCGTTAGAAGTAAATTTCGTCTAGTTTAAAGTGAAACAATTATTAATTACTCAAGTTAAATATTACTTTAGTTACCGCTTCCTATTAAAAAAAAAACACGACTTACTTAAAAAAACACAAAACTTAAGTTTCCTAATTTTCTGATGAAAATTGGCCTATTGTTTACACGAACTTTTTTGTAGCTCTTAAAGTCTGATATCATTCCTATAAAAAGTTCCATCTACTTACGGGACATCCTGTATGTATATATAAAAGGATAAAATGTAATAAATATAAATAAATGCCGTTTCTGGAATCTCCT